CTGGCTAGGTGGTTAGGAGCACTGGCTGCTCCTGCGGAGGACCCAAGTTCTGTTCTCAGCACCCACATGGTTGTTCACTGTCCATAACTCCAGTTTCAGGAGATCCAACACCCTTTTCTGACCTCTGCAGGCATTGCACACATGTGGTTCACTTACATAGTTACATGTGGGCAAGACAATTAAACACAATTTTTTAAATTTTTTTAAATTAAATAAGAGTAATATAATGCAGTAATGTTAAGGACACTGGCTCTGAAACGAGACTGTTTGGATTCAAATGCCAGCGTTGTCTTTTGCTCTTGCAGTGTGATCATAGATAAATGACTTAACTCATCTGTGCTTCAGTTCACTATCTGAAAAATAGGGATAGTAATAGTACCTACCTCATATGGTTTGGGAAGGAATAAATAAAACCCAGACAATAAATGCCTTGTCAGGTTTTGTTGTATTTACATAGTGAATGACAATGTGCTACAAGCCTAATAAACATCTCTAATATTTAAAAGGTAGACTGTAGTCTGATTTTGTAAATATAAAAGCTGAGGGGCTAGGGATGGCTCAACAGTTAAGAACACTGACTGCTCTTGCAGAGTACCCAGTGGTACTCCTAACACCCACAAGGTTGCTAACAACAGACTGTAACTCTTAATTTCAAAAGGAGCAAAGACCCTCTTCTGGCCTCCACAGACATTGCACACATGTGGTGCACTTACATACATGCAAGGAACACACTCATACACAAAAAATAAAACTAATCAAAAGAATTGTTTTAAAGATGAGACTGTGGCTGGAGAGATGGCCCAGCAATTAATAGCACTGGCTGCTCTTCGCAGAAGACCTGGGTTCAAATCCCAGTACCCATACCCAGCCTAACAACCATCTGCATCTCCAGTTCCAGGGGATCTGATGCGCTCTTCTGTCCTCCTCAGGAACTGTGTGACACAGGTGCTCTTGTGTACATGCAGGCATAACACCCATAAGTAAAAATTAATTAGTTGATTTTAAAAAGATCACACTGTGGAGATGACTCAGTCATCAAAGTGCCTGCTGTGCACTCATGAGAACTTGAGTTTGGATCACCAGCACCCAAATAAAAGCAGGCATCACCCTCACATCTATAACCCTAGCACTGGAGAGATAGATATTGGCCTGCCAGCCTGGTCAAATTGGTGAGCCAGGTTCAGGAAGAGACCCTGTCTCAAAAAATATGGTGAGGTCTGGAGAGATGGCTCAGCAGTTAAGAGCACTGGCTGCTCTTGCAGAGGACCTGGGTTTGATTCTCAGCACTTACTTGGCAGCTAACAACCATCCCTGACTCTTAATTCCAGGGGAATTAATTCCAACACTTTCTTCTGACTTCCTTGGACATTGCACACATTTAATTCACTTACATACATGCAGGCAATATCCTCATACACATAAAATAAAAATAGTAATAAATAAATAAAATAAGGTAACCAGGCTTGGTGATGCACACCTTTAATCTCAGCACTTGGGAGGCAGAGGGACAGATCTCTGTGAGATGGGGGCCAACTTGGTTTGCATAGTGAGTTCTAGGCCAGCTGTATCTAAAGGGAGACCCTGTCTCAAAAAGACCAAAATAATGATAATAGTGATGATGATGTGGAGAATGATCAAGGAAGACACCAATATTGACCTGACCTCCACACGTACACGCATGTATACACACACACAAAGCCAAAGTCCAAACTGGTAGGACCAAGATTTGAACCCAGTTGTGGCTGACTCTACAGCTATCCCTATACAGCTAAGATTGGAAAATGAAGTGGTTAGGACACTGCATGTTCTCACAGCATTTAAATTTTAATCTCACTAAATCACTCCTGTAAAACTATCTCCTTTAAGATTGCTGCTAGCACCTGGTTTCCAAGCCTTCAGTTGTTTTGAGTCACCTTTGTTTGCTGTTTCTGTATTGATCACAGGCCTGAAAAAGAGCAGAGTGTAATTAGAGCATGAAGGAAGTTGACTTGCTTTTGTGCCTATGCTGTTTGTGATGGCTGCTGTGAATCTGGTTTTAAAGATCAGTTCCCTGTTGCTGCTCTTCACTCACCTGAGACCCCACCACTACCAGCCTCAGTTTCTCTACATCAGCCTAAATAACCTTTGCCATGTTTAACTAGGCTCCACACCCATCTTGCTTTATTTTCTCCCTAAAGTACTATAGAAATTGTCAAGCATACCAGAACTCACCTCAGTTCAATAGCAGAAGAAAAGAATAAGCTATGGTCACATGCAGACCTGAGTTCAATTCTTCGTCCTGCCATTTATCAGCTGAGCAACCTGAATTAGACCATTTACCTCTTCCTTTTACTTGTTTTCATTTATAAAATTAGGATAATAATATGGGGGCTGGAGAGATGGCTGAGCGGTTAGGAACACTGACAATTCTTACAGAAGAGCCAAGTTCGAATCCCAACACCCATATGGCAGCTAACAACTGTCTGTAACTCCAGTTCCAGGGGATCCAACAGCCTCTTCTGTCCTCTGCGGGCATTGCATGACACAGGTGCACTTACCTACATTAAGGCAATACACACATAAACATAAATTAAAAATAATAAATAATAGGCCAGCGTGGTGGTGAGTTCAAGGCCAGCCTGGTCCACATAATGAGTTCAAGGACAGCTGGGGCTACAGGGAGACCCTGTCTCAAAAAGACCAAAAATAATAATAATATAAATAAATAAATGTAGGATAATAGAGCTTTCCTTTTGGGGTTTCATGAAGATTAAAAATAATTTATATAAGATAATTAGCATATAAATGTTGCTTAGTAAATGGAACAATTTTTATTGTACCTCTACTGTACCAGGGTTGCCTGGTATAGAGAATAAAATACATTGGGGTATCCCTCTTAATGGGTCCTGTAAGATCCTGTTAGTAATGGAGTTAAGGAAAGTATCTAAACCAAACAACTAAGGTTCATCTAATTCTGTCTCTCAGTGCATATAGATAGCTCTCTCTTCCTAAGTCCTTCCCACATAGATTCGGCAGACATTCACAGAAAGTATCCAAAGCAAACCAAACTATGTTGAACAAATATTTGATTTCCCACTCTGTGCTAGTCATTGTGTTAAGTGACAGGCATACAAAAGTAAAATAAGGCAGACATGGCCCCTGTCCTCACAGAGCGTCCAACTATGTGGACACAAGAACTGCATGTTTAGGCAAACACAAGCAGGTAGGTAATAGATCTTTAACACTTTAACACTGACTTAAAATATCAACATAGCTACCGGGTATGGTAGCATACACGTTTGGTCCCAGCACTCAGGAGGCAGAGGCAGATGGATCTCTGTGAGTTCAAGCCAGCCTGGTCTACATATCTAAATAGCAAGTTCAGGCTAGCTGGGACTACAGGGAGACCCTGTCTCAAAAAGACCCAAAAGAAAGAAAAAGACCAAAAGAAAAA